CAGTCGGTTAAGCGTCTGCCTTGGGCTCAGGTCATGATTCCAGGGTCCTGGGATCGAGCCCCATGTCGGGGCTCCCTGCTCAGCGGGGAGTCTGCTTCTCCCTCTGCCCCTTCCCCCTGGCTTGTGCTCTCTCTCTCTCTATCTCTTTCTCTCTCTCTCTCCCTCACTCTCTTTCTCTCAAATTAGTAAATAAAATTTAAAAGAAGAAGAAGAAACAAACAATGAATCATGGAACACTGCACCAAAAACTAATGATGTAATATATGGTGATTAACATAACAATAAAAAAATTAAAAAATAAAAAAAAAATAAAAGAAGAAGAAGAAAGCAGTAAGTGGGCATTTTTAGTAGTTCCAAGTCTTGAGTCAAATAAAAGCGAGGTCCAAACAGGGCCTTTATAATGTTTCTGCTGTGCTGAGAGGAAGAAATGGCAATGGGTCACTCCACAAGGAAAATTCTGAATGGTCGTTCCAGATATAAGGTTCCCGTCCGAACCTCACCAGAATGGACATTTATTGTCCCTGTCCATCTGTTCTGCCCCCCAGGGAAGCCCTATTCTATTTCTATAACTGCACTTCAGGCTCTCCGGCTCCTCCTCCAACCCTGCCACTCATTATGGTAACTGCACCCACCTGACTTCTTTTTTCTTTTTTTTAGATTTTATTTATTTATTTGAGAGAGCAAGAGTGAGAGAGATTGCAGATTGCAAAGGGAGAGGGAGAAGCAGGCTTCCCGCTGAGCAGGGAGCCCGATGTGGGGCTCGATCCCAGGACCCTGGGAGCATGACCTGAGCCCAAGGCAGATGCTTAACGGGCTGAGCCCCCCAGGCGCCCCCTCCCCCACCTGACTTCTGATGGTCACACGCAGCCAAGGCTCTCTGTTACGTCGGAGCTCTACCATCCGCACCGCTATGGTGAGCCTGGCCCCGTAGCGGACACTCCCCCTGGCAGGCCGGACCTGTCGAAGAGAGCTAGCACCAACTTTCTTAGAGGTGCTGGTGCCCCCTCACCAGCTCATTCCTCATCTGTGTGACGTGGTGTATCCTGTGGCTTTCTGTTGAGTTTTCCAGGCCTGATTAGTATATCCACTCGAGGATGCTCACTTCTGAATCTTTTTATCCCTACTTCCACGATTGCCCCAGCAATGCTGCCATTCCAACCTCACTTAGCATGGATCCTCACTTTTTCTGTACTTCTAGGAGCTACCCCAGGAGTGAGTTTGTACCATTTCTTGTGGTCCTTGCCAGGGTGTTAAATTCTATATTCTAGGAGGGTGTTCCCACATTGAGACACTCACTTTTATCCAATGTTATAGTCTAGCTCCCTCGGTCAAGCGCTCGCAGAATCCAATTCCATGCAACTCTTTCCAGCTTCTGCCAATCCATGCTGGCTAGATTTTGCGGCTTCTTGGGGGCATAGTCACTTTCCTCCATTATCAGGCCTAGCAAGTTCAGGCTGTGCCTTTACCCTCCTTATAGGCCTAGTGGCCAGGAGGGAAAGTGAGTGCACACATTGCCTTGTGGAGGAGAAATTCTGCATCATCTCCAAGCAAGAGGTGAGGAGATTATCAGTAGGGAAGTCAGATCAGTTCTGTAGACAAATCTGGGGATTCAAGATTTTGGTGGCATCAATCTAGATAGCCCCAGACCGAGTGTCAGGGTCCTATGCTTCTAGGAAGCATTCTGATTTTGGCATTAGCAAACTTGGATCCATTGGGAGTTTAAGCTTTCTTGGGAGCTCGATAACCACCGCATTCTGTTGGGCTTAGAGCTACTATTTCCCCCCTATTGCTCAAACAGTTGCTATATCACACCAGATCGTATGTTCCCTTCTACCAGTATGCCATTCCAGTTCACCCCCTGGTGAAGATCTTAATAATAATAGGACTGCCACCTTGTGGCAGGGGGCTATCTGTGATGCGGTCCTAACTGCCAACTGGGCAGTGAGTGACCTAGCTCCCAAATTGCATCTACGCACCAATTTCTTGGATAAATCTCCATTTCAAGTGTCATAATTTTAGTTCCCCAGGAAACGGACTGCAAGGTAGATTGTAGCATGCAGCATGCTTACTTACTAATAGGTGTCTTTTGGATTAGCAGCTGTGGAAGGAAGCTGGTTAGGGGCAGAAGGGCAGCAGAGGTGCACTGCAGACCCACCAGCAGCCTTAGCCAACCCCACAGAGAGATCTGGATTTAAAATGACCCTTTGCAATTGTCCCAAGTTGGGCTGAGATGGTCAGGCCTTTCATACCCCTTCTTTGGTCTGACATCGTGGGCTGCCTCAGAAAACTTGGTTACCTTGAGTGAGGCAAGTCTCTGTACCTGGGCAATCCCTGAAGGGGCTGACAGCTCAAGTCGGCTTGCCAACAGTGTTCTCAACAGCTCAGCCCAGAAAGTCCTTTACAGAAATAGGAGATGGGCCAGCGTATCACAGCATCTGCCACAGGCACCAGTTCTTCGCCCTAAAAATTGTCAATGAAAAGTAAAAATCGAGCATTTATCTTGTTCTTCCTATAGGAATTATATTTCAGAGTAACCAACCAAACAGCCGTGGTTGATGAGGGTGAGCTCTCTACAGAAGGATCCAGTTAATACATGACAAGAACTTATGGATCGCGGTTTTGCAACCCCAATAAAATTTTTTTTTCAGACAACTGAACATCGATTGATGAGACCATAAAATGAAAGGCCGATGGGGAACTTTATAGCAGAATATTCAGGCTGCCTCCACCTGAACCCACTGATCAATCTGAATATCATTAAGTATTGGATCGTATGTACTTCCTGATGTGATGAAATAGGAAGTCTTTAGTACTGTCTATGAGCATTCCTGCTTTCGAAAAACCTTTGTGCTAGAATCTAATGAAGGCTTTAGAGCCAACTCATGATTCATAGTTAAGTTACACTTATTCCTCTAACAAAAGGAACAAGCTAAATGGCAATATGAAGAAGCAAACAGACTAATGAGAACGTAGGGCATTCAACAGTACAAGGGACTGGGTTTCTTCAGCAACTCAATAGCATGAAGTAAAAGAGGGGAGACTGTTTTAAATTAAAGTAGATTTAAGACAAATACCCCGTGCAATGTGTGCATCTTGTTTGGATCTAGGTTTAAACAAACCAAATGTAAAAAGGCATACTTTTGAGATAACTGAGAAGATCAGAATATGGACTGGTACTAGAGGACATCAAAGAGTTGTTATTAATTTTGTTTAGTGTGAAAGTAGCATCGTGGTTATGTTTTTTAGAAAAGTGTCCATATTTTTAGAGGACACTGACATATATAGGGTAAAATGATATGATGTTTGAGATTTGCTCTAAAATGCTTACAGCAATGAAAAAGAAGAAGAAAAGAACATATAAAGCAGGTCTGGCAAAGTCTCGATAATTTTTGAATCTGAGTAATAAGTATACGGGGATTTGTTATATCATTCTCTGTACTTTTGTGTATTTAAAAAATTTTTTTAGGATACTAAAAAAAGGGGCAAATGCAAAGAACCCAATGGGAGGAAAATGATGCTCAAAGGATATAAACAGGCACTTACAGGAAAGGAGATTCAAACGTACAACAAACATTTCAGCTTCACTGGTAGTTGGGGAAATGCAAATTAAAACAATAAGGAGAGGGGCGCCTGGGTGGCTCAGTCCTTAACTTCGGCTCAGGTGCCCCATATCGGGCTCCCTGCTCAGTGGGAAGCCTGCTTCTCCCTCTCCCACTCCCCCTGCTTGTGTTCCCTCTCTCACTGTGTCTCTCTCTGTCAAATAAATAAATAAACTCTTAAAAAAAAATAACAATAAGGAGAGCCTATCTTTTATTCAAAAGATCCGCAAGAAGTTAAAAGAGCAGGACCAGATATCTAGCACTATGAGCATGGCAAAATAGCTGACTTGCTGGGAGGGCAAATTGCTTCCATCTTACAATATTTATTAAGAGTAAACCACGCACGTGCTATTAGACAGCAATATTCTGTAGAAATTATAGTACCAGAAATATATTATCTATACATGAGGACGTTTGAGGCAGCACTTTTTGTGTTGTCAAAAAAAAAAAATTTGAAAACCTGAGTTATCCTAGAAGGATGGTCAAATAAATTATGGTTCATCCATACCAGGGAATGTTATAGTTTTTAAAATTAAATTTTTTTTTCTGCAATCAAAGAGTGTAGGTGTAATAGTACAAAAACTAGAAAATACAAATAAGAAAAATAAGAAACAAATTTATAGTTCCAGACCTGGAGCTATCTTGGAATACGTCATTTCAAGTGTTTTTCATTGTGTGTGTATATGCATGCATATGTATTATGTATGTGTGAATATATATACGCATATATATATATACTTGTTTTTCCAATAAAAGAGCTATCACGTTACACGTTGTAACTTCTTGTTTCTTTCATTCCTTCATGAATATTTTCCACATCAATAAATATTCATCTACAAACATGGCCTTTAAGATCTGCATAGTATTCCTTTTCATGCGTACTCCATAACTTAACCAATCCCGCATTAGGGGGCATGTAAGTGCATTCCAATGTTTTCTTTTCTAAACAGCCTCCCTGTACACTCGCAAAGCTTTGAAGATGATTTCCCATTTGCCTTCCAGAAAGTTCTGGGAGCTTCTGGAGGCACTGGAGCCAGCATAATCAGAATGCTTTCCCATCACGCGAGCCTGCTATCTTCCCAGATAGCAAAACTGTAGTCTTTCGAACTTGTAAGACTTGTCTTATCCTGCCCGTTAGTCATGCAGCCTAACTGGGACTCCGTTCCAGAAATCCCTACACCCTCTCCCTCCTCTTGCTTCACTCCCGCCCCTCCCCACGCGCCCGCCCCCTCCCTCCCCCCTGCGCTTTCCCGCTCGGCGGCCCGGCCTATGGCAAACGCCAAGAATTAATTAGGGGCGGGGATCAAGGAGCGGCTGTCAGGAGGTCGCCATATTTCTGTACGGCCCTGAGGCCGCCCCGGCAGGCAGTCGGTGGGTCGGGAGAGGTGCTGACAGGGCGGGGCCGCCGCTCGGCTCTGCCGGCCTCACCCCTCCCGCCCGGGACAGGTGGCTGGAGCGCGCCCCGCCCCCGCCAGCTGCGGGTGGGAGCGAGGGAGGGCCAGCCCCGGACGGCCGCCGCCAGCTGCGAGGGAGAGTGAGAGAGGGCCAGTCCGGGACGGCCGGGCGAGGAGTCCGGCGGCAGCAAACGAGTATCGTGGCGGCCAAAAAAATGCTCCTGTACCGAGGGGCCCCCGCGGGCCCTGGCGCGCCGGCAAGCGGGCTGGCCCGGCCGGGCGGCGGCCCACAGGCCTTCGGGATCCGCCTGAGCACGGTAGGTCGGGGGCCCGAGGGGGCGGACGCGCGCGCGCGGGCCCCGGGGCTGCGGGGGGCGCGCGGGGAGGGCCCGGCGGGCCGAGGCCTCACGCGGGACGGGACCTTCTCTCGCCCCCAGATGAGCCCCCGCTACCTACAGAGCAACTCCAGCAGCCACACGCGACCCTTCAGTGCCATCGCGGAGCTGCTAGGTGAGTGGCGAGGGCGGGCTTGGCCGCGATCGCCCGAGGCAGTGGTGCCAACGTGGTGCCGCGGACGCGAGAGGAATGCGCGGAGCCGCGCGGGGCGGGCCGGGGCTGGGGTGGGGGTGTCGGGACCGGCCCCGGCTCCGCAGGCGGAGGAGGGGGACGGCTCTCCGGCCAGGGGGACGAGGTCCCGCAGATAAAGCTGAGGAAACAAGGTGTGTCCGAAGAGTTCGGACGCCCGTGTGGTTTTTCTCTCTGGATCGTGATGTTCCGGGCACTTTAGGATAGCCTAGTTAATAATCAAAAGGAGATGAATAAAAATATCGGGCCCTGAGGCAGCTGGGCACCGCAGGGACTGGCGACCGACGGAGGGCGCCAAGCTAGCAGAGGGGCATTGTGGAGGACCCGGAAGGGTCCCGAGGAAAGGTCTGGAAAACGGACTTCTTTAACTTTTGGGACCAGAGAGTCTGGGAATGATGGGACATCTTTTAAGAGATGACACGAGTGCATTTGGCTCCCTGCGACTGCGGAGGGCTGGGTCCGTGGTCCACGAGCGCCCTCACACCGCTGGAATGAATACTGAGCACTTAACCTCTCGCTCCACCGATGTTTGCTTTTAAAGCGTTTTCAGTTGATCCCTTGAAGCCAAGTACACCAGCTTTTGCAGTAGTGTGCTAAATACTGTGTGGAAAGCAAAGAAGAAAGGCATTCCCGGACAAAATGCAGCACACAGAGCACATTGTAAATGTTTCAGACATGGAAAGAAGGGAGAGACGGTTATGGGACGAGGTAGCCCCGAACAAAATCTTGAAAAGTGGCTTGCAAGCTCACCAGATGAGCCCTAGCCCGTACTGAAACAATTGCTGTGGCCATTCAGTGTGAGTTGTCTTGAGCAAGAAGTCAGCAGGCAGCAGGAGGGTCAGGAGAGTTACTGGGAAGGGAGATAGAGAACTTTGATGATTAGTTTCACCATCACAAGAATGCTTACATCGTGTATGACTGTTCTTTTGAAGGTGCAAGAAAAAAAAGTGACTTCGACACACTTTGAATCCTAGAGAAACAAGGACTCCATCTTTAAGGGTTTGCACCATGCTTTGAGTGAAACTTTGCTGGGTGGAACCAGACCTCTGTGTGTGTAACTCTCAGAAAAGAAAAAAGAGAGAAAAATCACAATTTACTTAGGGGGAAGTGGGAGACAGAGGTGTTACTCCTTCACAGCTGCACTGTGCAAAACAATGGATCCCGATGCTGTGCTGTGTACTGAACCTTAGAGGTGACTTGAAGAGTGTGTTCTGTTTGTAATTTTCAATATACTATATTATTTTTGTCCCGAGCATTAAATTAAGGAACCTAAGCCTGGCCCAAGATGTCTATGAGTGCAAGTGTGTATGTGTATTAATTTACATAGACACGCATGCCTGCACACATGCATAGGGAAACACAGATTTTAAAACCAAATCACAGCTATCTGTGGTAATATTAACAGTAGGAAGAAAAGGAGAGCAGAGGGTTAACTGGTAACCCAAAGCTTTAGGTTTTCCCTCAATTTTTTTCTCCTCCCTTTATGCATTAATTTTCTAGTGAATCATTCATTCAGTGAATATTTATGGAGCATTCACTGCGGGCAAGGCCACCATGGTAGGAACAAAAATGAATACAACATAGACTCACTTTTCTAGTAGGGGGGAGAGAAAACTCGTACAGAAGGTTTATGCTTTGTATAACAGCAAAATGGAAAGTGATATATCAGCGAAGATCTACGGATCGAGTGCTGTGGGAGTTCAGAAGAAGGAGGGATGACTTCCAGCTTACCAGGAAGAGGAGAGTTAGGAAAGGCTTTGTAGATAGAGGAGGTGACATTTGAGCTGAGATTTGAAGGATTGGGACATGTGGATATGGGTGTGGGGAGGGGAGGGCATTCCAGGCAAAAGAAACAACTGCATGAACAAAGGCATGAAGAATACTGAGTCGCTGAGTTTCATTAGAGTGTGGAGTTTACAAATAGTTACGACTATAAGTCCTTAGAGTATAAAGCGCCGGCACAAGTACATTTTTAACTTTACCCTTTGAGGTATTATACGGCATTATTATAATGAATATTATTATTGTCATTATTATATCATTATTATTCTCATCCTGCAGATCAAGATCCGGAGGCTCAAAGAATTTAACTGACTTTTCCAAGGTTACATGTCTAGTAAGTGGCAGGTCCAGGACTCAAGCGTGGATCTTTTTACTCCCAAGTACCACGTAGGTCATGAGGTTAGAAAGGCGGCCTGGGACCAGGATGTGACTGGGAGGCCCAGGTATTTGGCCTTTTAGTCTGAAGTTTTCTGAGCAGGGGAAAGTCCTGATCAGAGCTGGGCTTCAGGAGAGTTAATCTTGCAGCAGTGTAAAAGATGGATTGGAAAAGAGAAAGAGCCATGACTTCGAAAGACTAGTTGGGAGGTTAACGTGATAATCCGGATGAGAGGGAATAAATTCTGTAAACTGAGAAAGTGACAGGGAGAATAGAAAAAGCTAGATGTGAGAGAGCTTAGGGATGCATAGGGTAAGAGAAAGTGAGCGATAAAAAATGATTTTCCAATTTCAGACTTGTGGTCATTTGAATGCTGGCTCTGTGTATGTGTTTGGGGGGGAACAGGGGAAGAATAGGCTTGTGTTGGAAGGTGATGACCTTAATTTTAGACAAGAATGCTTTTAGGTACATGCAAGATGTCTGTAGGGCAACAGCTTGGCCCTGGCGGCCTTGCAGGAATCCACACAGGTCGTCCTCCTGGAACACGAGAGGATGGGAGGCTTGTAAAGTGCCACCTTGAAGCTACCTCCCACTTGCCATCCTGTCTGTCCAGGGAGGCTGTCACGGGACAGTTTTCTCATTGCAGTCCAGGTTCTGATGAGCCCTGAGGCTTCATTCAGTTAGAGTGCTTTTTTAGAAGACCAGGGGTCAGGTGGACCAAGTCAAGGGATAAGATAGATTCCCTGGGATCTGGTTTCTCATGTTCTTGCCTAAGTGGGGGTGAGGAGGCAGAGATAGGGTCCTCCCACTCCAGGTAGCGTGGGCCAAGTTAGGAGACAGAAGACTCCTTGGGATCTGGTAGCACATGAGATTGTATGGGCCAGGTTAGGGGGATAAAGACATTCCAGGATCTGGTAGTGCAGCCCAGGCCTATGTGGTGGGGGGGGGGGCGAGGACCAGGGGTTCTCAAGGGTTCTCTCCGCTGTCCTACCTGTCTGTAGGCTGGGCAGGCTGGGATAGCATGTGTTACAAGTTGATACATTTTCGGGAGGTTAAGCAGCAAGAGAGAGGATCAAAACCAGCCACCAGATTGGGGCCTTATTATTTATACGTTCATTTGTTGAGCCAAGGGAAAGGCCACTTCAAACTGAAAATAAGTGTAAAGCTGGGCTTGCTACCACCCGCTGCTGCCTCGCTCCATGCTGCTGGAGCTGACCCTGGCTGCTGGGGCACCCCCTCCCCGCTGGACTCCAGCAACCTCTAGCCAAGGAGGTAAAATGCCTAGCTGCTTCCAGCAGCTACCTTGTAACTCCCAGAGTGCCTGTGTTAAAACTCTCCGGTATGTTTCGGTAAAAAAAAAAAAAAAGCATCTAATAATGTTTGGGCAAAATTTGCAGTAAACAGGAAAGAAAGAAAAGTGATTTTGTGAGCTGATTCATTGACTACGCTGTTACATACACTTAGAATTGGGATGGATATGTGTTATGTGCTTGAGTGGTGAATGTTCATAAAATGTTAGAAAGACTTCCTCCTATGTTCAAAGTTTTCAAAACAGAAATGATGCCCTGGCCATTGACACAGTAAAGGTGTCAGTCTCAGTGGCCCTGGCTTTCTGCCAGCAAGAGTGACTGATAAGTCCTAAAACAATTCAGGGCCTGCTTGTCAAATGGTTTCTTGAAACAGTGTAGGCAGCTTCACAGTGCTGAATCCTTCTGTCAGTTCCAGAAAAAAAAAACTGCCTCTCACACAAAGTAAAACACTATTTCTGATAAAAGCCTCTATTGCATGTCAAACTTACAGTTCCTGCCAAAAGTTGGCCCACTTGATTTACCACATGACACAAGGCGTTGGCCCCACCTCGTCCGTCCTTAAAGATCGACCCTACCAGACCTCTTAATTCCCTTCTGGGGCTCTCGGTGATGGCTTACTACTGTTAAGATTTTTCGGCTCACAGTTGGTGACGATTTTATCAATGGACACGGGCAACACCACTCTGGCCCTTGAAATCAGTCCGTGTCTTGTTTTCATTGCTGGACATTCCACACGTCCAAGTGGTTGTAATTGAAACTGTTGATTATATTTTGAATATGAGTAATATTTCTCTTGCTTGTAAGGGATGTTCCCAGTGGAGAAATGCCATGATTTGAACAGTGGTGGCAGGACAAGTACACAGCCGGGACCCCACCTGGTGCTCTCTCAGCCCAGCCATGTGGTATCAGTAAGGTAGTCTAGGATGCCAGGGGAAGGGAAAGGGGGTGGAAGGGAAGGTCTCTGTCTTGATTAAAGAGCTAGTAGGGACAGGAGTGCTTAGCGAACCCATCAGACACATGGTTCAACCTGCCCTCCCATTCGGGCCAGCAAGTCCTGGTGAGACTGTTGCAGTCTGTGTATCTGTGAGTGACAGTTGTGTGACCTGGGGTCTGGGACACAAAGATGTGGCTCCTAGACATTGCCCACCCCCAACTGTGGGGGGTTGTGGACTTTGCCCGGATGTTAGAATGTGGTTCTGTCTGGTGCCTTCGGAGCCTTAAATGATGAGCCCATTATGAAGACGGGACTCAGGAGGAATCATGGAACTTTACTTACAGTTTTTTCTTTTTCTGCTTTAATTCTACCTTCTCTATTTAATGAGGGTGGGGCAGCTTCACCTTTAAGACTGTGACAGAGTACTTAAGCTGAATCCCTCCCTCTCTCTGAGTGTGCTTGTTAGCATTCACTGGGATGGGGCGGGCAATTAAATGTTTTGGTTTGAACTGCTAACTCTTTCAGGGCCTCTTAGGCTGCAAACAGGGATGGTGATGTAAAAAAAAAAATTAGAAAAATAGAAAATAAAATGTTCACGGGTGCACTGTAATGTGTGCAGTATGTACCGAAATTGCAGATTCAACTCTTCTCCATAGCCACCCTCTATTGTATGTGTTCATGAGCAGCAAAGTGCTAAAAGACGAGAAAGAAGTAATAAGATGAAAATGGAGCCAAATGCTTTGTGTAGAGGAGTTATTTTCCCCACAGACCCTGAAATGTGAAGGGAGAAAGGCAGACTGCAGTTTGTCATTATATGAAATCTAGAAATCAGCTTCATAACCCCATCTGCAGTCGTTATCTGTTGTTCCCAATAACCCAGTAAGCACACTACCATCAAAGCTCCCTGCCCACCTTTGGGGACATCCACTTGAAGGGGATAAAGGCTAGTTTCTGTGTCTTGGGGCACTGAACTAGAGATTTTACTGAAATACGAGAAAAAGGGGTCTAATATCACAGATTTCTACCTTTTGCAGATAATGCTGTAGATCCAGATGTATCCGCCAGGACCGTCTTTATAGATGTTGAGGAGGTCAAGAATAAATCTTGTTTGACCTTTACTGATGATGGATGTGGGATGACACCTCATAAACTACACCGAATGCTCAGGTAAAAATGTCTTCATTCTTTTCCTCTTGTCTTGAGTTCATGAACTCTACTTAGGGCTTCATAATTTTCTTTAATATTTCCCTTTCCCTTTATTCATTCAGCAAATATTTATTGAGCATATATTATGTGCCAGGGCACTGGTGATGCAACAGACACTATTCTTGCCCTCATAGAACTTACAGTTTAGTTGGCAATTCAGACAGCGAAGCAGTAATTATAATAAAAAATGGTAAACATGCTAGAAAAGCATAGGATGCAATGGGGACCAGCAGGGGAACCAAATCTGATCCAGGAAGTCAGACAAAACCTCTTAGAGGAAGTGATATTTAAACCGAGATCTGAGGGTGAGTAGTAGAATTTAACAAGGTAAAGGAGCAGGGGGCAAGGGTTGAGGGTTCAGGCAGAGAATAGCAAGCGTAAAGATCTGCAGGCCTTCGCTGGCCTGAGACCTCCTCCAAATTATATTAGCCTGAACTCACTCTTAGATCCGAAGTATTGCAGTTGGGATGATTTGTGGGTTAGGACCATGAATATGCCTGGGTATAACCAAGCCCCATGAATGATAAATAGAAGGCATTCATACACATAATCTTTGAAAGGTTTCACAATAGAATGGCAAAATTAGGGAATTTTCTAACTGCTGAAGCTGGTGATAGAGATTTCTGTTGCCACTCTCAGTTCATTTAATTACTTTAAAAGGTTTGTAGTTGAGAATGTAAGTTTGTACTTGATTATCTCCACGTATCACTCAGTAAAAGATGAGTGTTTCCTCAACTCCTTCCTTTGCTCTTCTTTTTTGAGCAGGTGAGGTTAATTACTCTCCGTGTGGCTTCCTGAACTAGTGTGTGAAGCATGAGTAACAATGGAAGAGGGGTTCTGTGGAGGAGGGAGAGAGGGCTCTGAACTATAAAAATGGAAAAACGTTCATTTGGTTGTGGTTCTCTTTAAACTTATTCTAATTCTATAACCCTGTTTATAGGGAAATCCCTTTGAACCATCAAAGAAAAGAAATGAAATTTGGGCATTAACCAATTAAATTGCATTGTTTTACCACTCGGCAGTCTGTGTACCTTGTGTCTCAGACCCTCATAATTAGAAGAATGTTCAAGGAAAGCTTCTGGAAGTGGGAGAAAGATGTGGCCAGTATGTTGGTGAAGGTATGGAGTTGGCCCTGTTTTTTAATTTATAGCATTACTTTTAGCTCCTCAAGTTAGTATTTTATATTTAAAAATACAATTTTAGATGGGATGGAACCAAAACATTGATATGTCTAATTATGTATTCATGTTTCCCCTAAAATCACTTTATTTCATGCATGTATTCATTTTTCCCCCGAAAATCACTTACTTCTTTAGTAATTCCTTCCAACCACACTTTATCCCAGTGACATTGGTGTCAGATAGTGGGCCCAGCAATTTTAGTGCCTTCCATTTTGTCTGTGGAACTACATCTATGAAAGTCGGTGCTTGTAGTTACAAGAAGGATGAGAAAGGAGGATGGTTTCAAAATAATCACAACCATTTTTGTTCCAGATTCATTCAACAAATTTTTACTGAGCACCTATGTGGACATCACTGAAGATAAAGTGGTGAACCAGATAGACATCCTTGCTCTCAAGGGGCTGACGGTTTAGTGAGAAGGATAGAAAAGAACTGACTAGTAATACAACTAAATAGGTTATCTCACCTAGTGTTAAGTGCTATGAAGGAAGACTACAGTTTCCATGAGAGTATATAGTGGAAGGATCTAACCTAGTCTAGGGAGTCAAAAAAAAGATCCCCTGAAAAGGTGGCATTTGAATTGAAATATGAAGACTGAGTATCATCTGTTCATAATTTTGTTCCCTCCCCAAGGAACAAAACAGCAAAACAGGCAGAAACTTATTTAGCCATAGCCTTTTTTGGCATTATCATACCAAATACCTTTCCCACTAATTTGAGCTGGGCAATTGTTCTTCATATGAAAAATTAATTTTAGAGAGTTTTTTAATGAGTCCTGGGTTAATGTATAGTATATGTACCAGATTTTATTTGTGGTCATATCTTAAAACAAACTTGAATGAGCTAGAAAGTCCCATTTATTTAAAAGTTCGTTTAATCCAATCCTAACTCCTGGCCATGGATTCCATTTACCACAATTTTGTTATAAATAATTGAACTTCAGAGGTAGCTTTGAAAATTATTAAGTATGTTCATTTTTCTGGATTTGGTTAGGGACATATTACTTTTGTATAATAATAGAGGTAATTATGCAAAATGATTAAACCCACTGAAATTCTGTGTCACCAATAACATTCGTAATAATCCCATCCACATTTTCCAACTCTTCTTGCTACTCTTCCTATTTCCAGGCTAATAGAATAGTTATCTAATTGCAGCAAGTTTCTCCCATAAATACAGAATCCCAATGAAAATCAAATTAAGAAGGAAAAGCCTATCATTAAATTCCTTTAAAGTCCACAGTGAATTCTCTTTAGCTTCTGGGGCTGGTGTGAAGCAGCTAGTCGAGATGTCCAGCTAGCTGCTGTTCTCCGCAAGGTAGAAAACCTCTTCCAAAGGTCAAGGATTAAAAAGAGCCACAGATCCCTGGATTAAAGGTATTTGCCACCTCTGCTCAGTAGTGCATTTCCTAGTAGGTCTGTTCTTCTGAAACAACAGCCAGAGAATAACTGTGCTTAGCAGTGTTCCATTGTTTTATATTCCATATTACATCCCCAGTATATCTAGGAAACAGCACTGCCTGCCGTCGTGTGTCCACGGATTCGCTGAGGTGTGTTTCATTGGTCAGAGTCCCAATTTAAATTGATCTCCTTGGATTCTAGAATCTTGACATTTTAAGGAACTCGGAAGTGAGCTGCTGTCTCCCTGCATTCCACTCAGCTGGTATTCAGCCCCCTGGCACCCCCCCCCCGTGTGTAAACACTGCTGTCACTTACACAAAAGGATAGAACAGGACTTAACTTAGGGAAGCTGCCTGTCTGAGCCAAGAGATCCCTGGAAAATTAGTGAGCTCTACCAAGCTATGTAAAATGCTTCCCTACAATTCTGTTCTTCATTGTGAGGGCTTTTATACTTGGTAGTTATTTGATCGGGGTCTGGCATCCGTTCCATAATTTTCCGTTAAATAGAATACCTAACACAGGAATGTAGATGGAATAAAACAACACGTGGGATGGGTTAAGTGGAACCTAACAACAACAACAACAACAACAAAATCCAGTGCTTCCGGCTCCTCTCTTCTCATTTTCTTATCCTTTTCCATGTCTGGTTCTGGCCCTGAGCGATTACTTAGCTTCTCAACCTAATATAGTCATTGGGTCTCTCCAAACTAAGTAACACTGTGAGGATTTATACTTACAAAGGGAAAAGGGGGTGTTAGATGTCAGAAGAGTCAGGGATGGCTGGGAAATTAAGGGGATTGAATAGAGTCTCCCTATTTTCACCACTTTCCATTACCCACCGAATTGAAGCTTGTGTGGCACTAGAGATGGTTTGAGTCCAAATAACCGTATAGCTTCATTTCGTGTGATAGGTAGGGTTACTATTTATGAGGAGCCCTGAGTTTTAGATACAGCATTCGATCTGAAGTATAGGTAGAAGCGAGCCCAGGACAGTTCTCAGAATGACTTCTAGAGTTCGTTTAAAATTAAGGTTTAAATGCTACTTTATAATTTAAAATATGCTGTACAGACAGTATATAATTTAATCCTCCTAACGACTCCCATCTTTTTTAGGCACTTCTTACACAAGAGGATTAGGAATGCCTGAATTTCACCAGCTTCTATAAGTTTATTTCCCGGATTACTGAGGCCCATAGATGGCAGAAACTCGATCTTTTGGTATTTTCCAAGGAACTGCTGCCCTAGAAATTACCTTTTACTGTGGTTAGGTTTATCTGTAGGATATACAAAGCTGCTAGGAAGTGTCTAGAAGGACATAATGGTTTTATTGTGGGACACTTTGAAATAGAAAATTACAAGCTGGTCCCTCTTTCTTAGGGAGTAGGCACAAGCCACAGCCTTCAGGAAGTAGAAACCAGGCACCTTAGCCCTGTTCCAAAGCGTAAGAGCCAAGGCCACGCCGCTCAGCCATGGCAGATAGAGTGTCTCTTTTATTGATACTGGAGAAGCATCTAATCTGTAATCCTTCCTTAGACTGTAAACCATGAAGGCAAGAATCATGTCTTTTATTATTAACAATTTGCGTCTCCAGCACTTAGTACAACGCACGGCACGTAGTAGGGACTCAGTAAATATTGATTGAATGAATGAGAGCGTACGACATTGTACACTTTGTCTGGAGAGAAGCAGTCCTTAAAATTAGTTTTATTTGTGGTGAGAGAAGACCTATGAGGAAGCCAATCATTGTTTTCTGGATTTTGTATCTTTCATTTTTTTTTGTTCTGTTATTCTGTTGTGTGTTTAAATGGGGAATCTAAGCGAGGGAAAGGACCTGGCTGCAGAGATTGTCGAGGTGACGCAGTGAAAGGTCCCTAATAAAACGAGAGAGACCTCATACTGCAGCTGCCTGCCGATATTCAGCGAGGGACCTACCTATTCTTATCCCTTGGCCACATTCCAGGGAACTGTCCCAGCAGATGGAGCAGAGGTTAAGAATTGGAAGGGTTATCCTCTGGGGGGAAGGTTGAAATTGTTAAGATATATAACCTCTGGCTTTTCAGGTTTCTAGAGGGTGATGTAGATCTCGTACTTCTGACCAGCGCCGCTACACTGTGGGTTCCTTTTGTGACCCGCGCTCGGGCGCACTCTGAGCTAACCACCCTCTTCACCCTGCCCTGACCTCGCTATCAGCAGTCAGAGCCATTGCATCTAGACAAGAAAGGCAGCTGCCCACGGCCTCCTGCAGTTCTCCCTGTTAGTCAGCGAGAAGAGGCCATCTTGACGTTCGCCAAGTGCGACTGTCTGGTGGTGGGGGTGTCTGTGTGCACACAGCAGCCACACGGGAGAATCTGGGCCGTCACGTCATGGTAATTTCCTATGGTTTTCACGTGCCAGAGGTACCGAAAGGAAGAAAGAAGGAGTGACTTTTTATAAGTGTGTTTCGTTCGTATAAGCCATTCTGCCCATCAGCCTGTCTTAGGATGCTTTTTACCTTTCTGGTTTCCTTTTTTTTTTTTTTCTGATTTCTTTTTTCTTGTGTAATTACAGCTTTGGCTTTACAGATAAAGTAATAAAGAAGAGCCAGTGTCCCATCGGGGTCTTTGGTAATGGTTTCAAGTCAGGCTCCATGCGGCTAGGAAAGGATGCTCTTGTCTTCACCAAGAATGGGGGTACTCTCACTGTTGGACTCCTATCACAGACCTATCTGGAATGTGTCCAGGCCCAGGCAGTTATTGTACCAATTGTTCCATTCAACCAGCAAAACAATATCCTTTCTGGAAGTGGCAGATGTTGGTTAAAAATTAGTCTGATCTGACTATTATGATAGAAAGCTCTTGTCTTCAGCTCAAATCCAGCTATCAAAAGTTTTCATATTTAAAGAGGTATTCAAGTGTCTTAAATTTACCTGGAATTTCACTGTATGAAATACTTTTAAAAAATAAATGTACCATAGACAGAAGCTTAGAAATGTTTTTTAGTGTATTGAATCAGCTTATCTGATAGCAGAATGGCGCGTTTCCCTATACCTAAGACAAGCTGTTATTTCTGTTAGAGGACAGATTGTCTTGACCCAAGCAGCACAGTAGTAAAGTTTGAACTCAGCTTCCAAAGAGGCTAAAAATTCAGCCTTTGATCTGTTTCTTAAATAGCCTTTGTTTACACTGTATCTTTGAAGCTGTCGTCTGCAGGGGTAACCGATTTTGGTGTTTTGTCTCTACGACCTTTCTCCCTTTCCCCCCTTTCCTTTCTTCTGTAGCAATAATGCCCATGCTTCCGACGGTATGTGTCTATATTTTGTCTAAACATGCAGCCCAAAAGGCAGATCTTCCTAACTGATAGCGTCCTTTTAAGATATTAATTTTTCTTTGACTGTATTTGGTTTTACAAAAAATGATTATTACTGAGGATTCCTTGCCCAGCCTAGAAGCCATCTTGAACTATTCAGTTTTCAACAGTGAAAATGACCTGCTGTCCCAGTTTGATGCCATCCCAGGCAAAAAAGGCACTCGGGTTCTCATTTGGAACATCCGCAGGTATAGTATCTCAAGGGTGATAGGGTCAAGTAAGCAAAGGTAGTATGATGAAGGACATTTTCAGAAATCTCTTTAGAAAAGCAGAGTGGATCAATTTTGATACATATCTGTGTCTCTTTGCATAGCTTTCCTTAACTCTCTTGGAACCACAGCTCCCCTTTGAGAAAGTGGTTCTTACTGGTAGAATGTGGAGCTTGATAAAGTGGAGACATGTGTATCCTGAGGCTGTTGCCACAAATAATCAAGACAGTTCAACATTATTCTAAGATCTTCAGAATCCATTTTGAATATCTTATATTCATGGACATTGTTTTGAGAGAGGATAATGATAGTTATTTTACATATTTGACAGTGGCAATGAAGTATGAAAAAGACAAATTAGAATAACAAAGCACAACATGATCTTTAAAAATAAGGATCTCTTGTGCTTTCAGAGTAGCTGGATTAGAAGTATGAAAATCTTTGAAGCATGTAAATTTGAACTATAATGAGGCTGGCTTCACATCAGGCGTTGAGAGCTAATAAAACCATCTAGAAATACTCTAGGATATGTCATCATTTGTTTAATCTCGTCGTGTCAAGTGGAATACATTTAACAGTGTCCACAAAAATCTAGAGATCTTTTATATAAAACAGAGGGGATACCGGTATCTTTAGTAGAACAGGGTATCAGATGTATTCATTCTTCTTTTCCTCCTGAGGTGAAGTATTTTGCCTCATTTCTTAGCTGGGTAAAACTATATAAAAACTATGCTGGTTTATACAGAGTACTTTCAGTTAAAAAGAAGAACATAAGGAGTTTTTTTTTTTTTTTAACACATTAGTAATTTAGATCCTCCTGTGTCCTACTGGGAAAAATCTCAAGTAATGTAATTTATATTATAAAGGATCATTTTCCTGTGGTGTTTCCAATGATTTAAACATATTAGTCAGACTTTTTTCTTTGTACATTGTTTTTCAGTTACATGGTATTAGGCGTTATGTGGATAAAAGATTCCACAGTCAAAAAACTGTGGGAAAAGCTGGCTTAAACAAAATTTACCATGTTGCTTTATTGCAGGACTTCTCAGAGGCTTTCATATGCTAATGTCATTTCAATCTGCATTGAAAATGTTTAAGAGAGCAATATAGTATGTGGTATTTCCCAATTAAAAAAAAAAAAGTTTCTCCAGACCCCTTTTCCTTGAATGGTGAATGGTGAGGGGCAGGGAGGACAGGGAACGTCCTCAGAGTATGTGTGAGAGTGGGGTGAGGTAGCAAGTATCTGAAATATGCTGGAAAATTCAGAATATACTATTATAGTGAGGTGGGCTTCATACAGACCATAGTGGCTCTGGTCCAGCCCTGAGAAAGGAGCTACATTTTTCAACACAGCAGCTCTGAGCTTCAAGCAGCCTTGAAGTGTGGGGGAGAGATCACTAGAGCTTGAGGTGGCCCTGAGGGCCAGCAATTGTTTCTCCGTTTTATTCAGTCATACAACCCTTATTACTTATTTCTTATTTAAGAGTATTTGGGGGAACTACGATTCCACAGAGCAAACTTTGGGAACTGTTGTTCTGATGTATATGTTTGCTCGATAGGCCATCATTTGTTTTGAGTTTTTTCCAGGAACAAAGATGGGTCTTGCCTTTTTACCCTGGCAGTTGTTAGTGATCTAGTCCAGGGTCTTGGAATGGATCAAAGCTAAGTAGCCCAAAAGGATTATGAGAAGAAGTAAGATCCTTATGAAAGGAATATGAGTACCATTATAATTAAATGATAATTCCGTAAATGATATTCCAGAGGACTAGCAGATATATGCTGTTTCTAGAGCGACCTTTCTTTTCCCTCGAAGAAATAGGATTAAATCCGGGGAATCTTGGTATTTCATTAGTCCTTATACCATTGCTGAAATCAGAAGTAGGTTTTGATTCATTCCTCTATTTATTCAGTTGGAGAAGATGATGCTGAATGACCTACCAGGCAATACCCAGAAAGTTGTGATCTATTTTAAGATCCTACCGTGAGGGTAGCTGACATCCATTTGATTTATCAGATCAGACATTTCCACCTTCCCTTTTTTTTTTCCCTTTTCTTCTGTACCTGGCATCACCACTTCTATGAAACGTAGTCAATTTGTTTAGACTGGGAATACCTCTAAATATTGTGTGATTTTCAAACCAAGTAATTTATAGTTCCTTTGCACTGATAGGGAAAGAAATAGGTGTCTGAGTTTTGGCTCATCTTGTTTCTTTTCTCTTGGGTTCCTAGTGCATTTTTGTCCTTTGGAGCCAGTATTTGTTAGATTGGTACTTGTCTCTTTTACCCAGAAATAAAGATGGAAAGTCTGAGTTGGACTTTGATACAGATCAGTATGACATCCTGGTATCAGACTTTGGCACAGAAGAAAAAGAGACTGGTGGTGTTACCTGTGAGCTGCCAGAAACAGAGTATTCTTTACGGGTGAGTAAGAGTGGTTTTTCTTCAACAATGAGAGGTAAGATGTCTTGTAACATGGAAATATTGTAGAACAAGATGTCACTTTAGTTAGATAAAGATGACAAACTTCTCGCCCTGTGCTAAGATTCCTTTTCACTGTCTCCACTGTAGCTAATATAGTCAATAGCACTTTAATGCGGTAGTTGACATAACAAGGTATAGAAACTAAGCCAGATCTTTGCCCAGAATAGATCTCAGTCACTAGCAGTGTTTTATGAGGCTGTCGGTAGAATTGACAATGTCCTGTAATAATTTCCCCTTCACTGTTCCATAGGCATTTTGTGGTATTCTGTATATGAAGCCACGAATGAAAATTTTTCTGCGTCAAAAGAAGGTGACTACCCAGATGATTGCCAAGAGCCTGGCCAATGTAGGATATGATTTATATAAACCTACCTTCACAGTATCCTTCCAACTACATGAAGTTGACCTCTTCATTTCAGGATTAGATTTCCAAGCTGGCATAGGAAAACAAAGACCTTTCTTTTTCCAATTGAAAAATGTGTGTTGTAATACAAATCCTATTACGGTATATTCTTTTATTTTAGAGAGAGAGAGAGAGAAAGAGAGAGCAGGGAGGAGGGGCAGAGGGAGAGGGAAAAAGAGAATCTCAAGCAGGTTCCACGTGGAGCCCAACATGGGTCTTGATCTCACCACCCTGAGATCATGACCTGAGCCAAAATCAAGAGTCAGATGCTTAACTGACTAAGCCACCCAGGTGTCCATACAGTATAGTCTCTGAGAAGGTATTTCTTTTCTTTTTTTTTTTGAAGGTATTTCTTAAATGCTGATCGATGTATCAATTTTATCAGAAATCACCTGGAAATTATTAAAATCATACAGCATCCTTAGATTTTGGAGATTCTGGTTCAGTAGATTCTGAAATCTCTATTTTTAGTAGGAAATACTTAATTTATTTTTAAATCATCAGCTAATTCTAATGAGTAGCCAGGTTTGAGAATCTCTGCAATAAGGAATGATCCACGCTGTTTGGTATTTCCTGGAATTTTGTTAGATGTTACATTGATTGAAATAAGCAAATATTGACTAGAACTTGTTAACCTTTTGGGCATATTATGATTTTTGTTGTAACATGTCCAGACTTACAATGATGGAAGTTAGGAGAGTGGAAATTAAAGGCTGATTTTCTAAGGTGAGGTAAATCTTCAACAGGTCTGACAGATTTCCTGGTACTTGTCATAATGGCAGCCACTCAAAGGAATAATTACTGATTTTCACTTCTACCCCGCATTGCACTGGGAATGGATTTCAGATACTTGAGAAAAATCTTAAGATGAACTATGGAAATGGGGTCCATCTCTGTTGATGGCTTTTGGGGCAAAAATAAAGTCTTTGAAAGGGTGGGAACTCCTCTAAGCGGTCATGAAGAATTGCTCTTATAATTTATTTTCTAGTAATTAAGCACAGCTCTTGGCCCAAGAAACATGTTCACACTCGATTTGCTTTATCAAAGGCATTACCTAGTTTGCTTTGTCTTTCTTCCCCAACCAAAAATTAGAAATTATTGTTCCCTTTTTTAAAAGCTGTATAAGTCCTTATTCATAAATCAATTGATTTTCTCCTTTTTTGGGAACACATACCTTCTCTACTACAAAAGCTTTTTTTTTTTTTTTAAGCCCATGTTAACAAATCCAGAGCTAGCATTGTTACATCTGTAGGTAAATTAGTTGTCACATCACTGTATATAGGCTAGGATCTTAGTGTCCTAGGTTTAACAGAGCCGGTTTTAAAGAAGTGCTTTCTAACTACTGTTTCAGGGGATACCACATTTCTGCCTCCAGCTTCTTTCTTTTATGGGTTATCAGAGGGAACTCCTATGCAGTGTTAAAAAACAACATTCTCCTGAGTAAATTTGAAGATCTAATTGGCTTTATTAAGTGATTCGTGATTAGGGCAGCATCGCATCTAGCAATCTAGCAATTAAGAGATGTTCCCAGAAGCTGTACAAAATGGAAGGTATTTATAGGGTGGGGCCAGAATTTGTTAGCAAAAGAAAAGAAGGGATTCTTTTAGGCCAGGTCATCTTCTTTTTGTGGGAGAAGGGAACAGCAGGGTTTTTATCATGTACATAGTGCTGATCAGGAAATTTCAGATTGACTGTTGAAAGGTCATACTGCTGGGATTGGTTGAAATCATAACTAAGGCTTGGTTTGTCGTCTTGCAGGGGCAAATGATTCCAATTTGGACTTTTTTTTTTAAAGATTTATTTATTTGAGAGAGAGGGTGTGCACGCATGCAGGTGGGGGGGGGTGGCAGAGGGAGAGAGAGAATCTCAAGCAGACTCCCTGCTGAGCGGGAAGCCCCATGCGGGCTCAGTCTCATGACCCATGAGATCATGACCTGGGCCGAAATTACAAGTCAGAGGCTTGGGGACTGAGCCACCCAGGTGCCCCATTTTTTTCTTTTTTTTAACAGCAGTACATTTGATATGTATTTCAACCCTCCTTCCCATTAAACTAGTTACCTTCCCCTATTAGAATTTGGGCTAAATGAATTCACTATAGGCATGAGTGAAATGAAACTCCTGATAAAATTTCCCCCCGACGTCACTGAGGGACAAGAGCACTGATGTTGACTTATTTATCCCTCAGTTATTAAAGGCCTCTTTTCTCTTCTTGTCCTTTCTCCTTATACTAATTTGGGGAACCTCCTCCCCCAGTGTACTCCCACCCCATGATTTAGAATTTTAAAAGCGTGCAACAGAAGAATTTGACATATCTCTAAAAATGTTAATTTTATGGTATAGAGTTTTGGTTTGTTTGTTTTGGAGAGTTTGTCCTGTTTTGCTTTTTCATTGGAATAGGGTCTTATCTGAGGTTAGATTGGAACTTCTGGAGCCCAGAACATATTTTCTGAGCCAAACATTACTGTGTTAGGTACCCACTTGTATGATGCCTTTGTATCATACCTGACCCATTTGTTCCATGGATTTGATGCAAGTAGCTTATTACGTAGGGGGGCAATGGAGATCATTTTTTGAATCAGTAACAAATTTTAACTCATTTGGACTTGAAGATGGCTTAGTATTTGCTTTAATGAAAATTTCAGTTTCTCTGTTCTCCCCCGTTTGTCTTTCTCCCTCTCTTACCTTGGTTTTTAAATCAAATAGAACTTGCTAAAAACACATCATGTTCATTTTTTTTAAAGATTTTATTTATTTATTTGAGAGAGAGAGAGAGAGAAACAGCATGAGAGGGGAGAAGGTCAGAGGGAGAAGCAGACTCCCCACTGAGCCGGGAGCCCGATGCGGGACTTGATCCCAGGACTCCGGGATCATGACCTGAGCCGAAGGCAGTTGCCTAACCAACTGAGCCACCCAGGCACCCACATCATGTTCATTTTTTACGTATCATAATTCGCTTTATTTCATCTATCCAAACTTGTTCACTTCTTCCCATGAAATATATTGCAACAGGACTGTTCATTGTCCTTTTAACTTTAGAGGTGATTTTGTGCTTTTGCTTTCATTGTGTTTTGTATGATTAGCAGGACTTACCTTATTGCTTATACAGTTGACTCTTGAACAGTGCAGGGGCGGGGTTTGGGGCACCTACCCCCTGCACAGTCGAAATCTGAGTATAACTTTTGACCCCCCCCCCCAAGAACTTAACTACTAATAGCCTGCTGTTGGTGGGAGGCCTTACTGATAACATAAACAGTTAACATACATTTTGTATGATATTATATACTGCATTCTTAGAATAATATCTAACTTTTTCTTATTTTATTTGGTACTTCCGGGCTGCACAGTTTATTTGTCTGTGAGTCTTTAAAAATTGTCACAAATCTCCAAAAATTTTTCCGATGTATTTATTGAAAAAATCCACGCACAGGTAGATCTGTGCAGTTCAAACCCATGTTGTTCAAGCATCAACTGAACTTGTGTGGATTTGTGTTGTACTAGTTACAACTCTTGTCTTAACCCAGCAGCAAACTGAGCAACTTAGCAAGGGTTAAGAAGTGTTTTGTGATTGTTTATGAATTTTTAAACCACTGATGGCACTTTAGTGTATTTTCCTACACTCTTTTCTCTGCATGTATTTATGTATACATGTTTTTAGATAATGCTTATTGTTATATTGTGAACATTTCCTAATGTTACCAAATATTTTTCAAGGACATAATTTTAAGAGGTACATAATAGACCATGTGAATATACCCACATTTATTTAGTCATTCCCTTATTGTCAGACATTTGAATTATTTGTTTTTCTGTCACTATAACTAATTGATAAATCTCTGTAACTCATTAACCTTTATGGGCTTTCCTGACTGTTTCTCTAGGATAAATTCCTGGAAAGAGAATTGCTTGGTCACAGATTAAGAATATTTTTAAACCTATTGCTACAGATTTTTTAAACGTCCCCTGGAAAGGGCATACCAATTTCTATCCAGTGGTATTTGATGTGTTTTGCTATAACATAGTGCAAAATGTTGTCTGCTAAATCCCTTGGCGTTTGTCTCCTTAATGATTTTCTTCTCAGAATAAGCAGGTGAAAATAACTTTTGGGTTCTCTTGCAAGAATAATAACCAGTTTGGAGTAATGATGTATCATAACAACCGACTCATAAAGTCTTTTGAGAAGGTGGGATGCCAGGTGAAGGTGAGTGGTTAATGTTTCTTCGTCATAGAAGGCTGAAAAGAGGAGGAGGAAGATTTAAAATTTGCAAAGAGTATAGACTCATTAATGGCTTTTACTCCCATCTTATGATGGTTGTTAAATCTGATCCTGGAACTCTGTGTTACCGGTGAGCTGTCTTTTGTTGAAAAGCTCTTTCTACTTCTCATTCTTCACAGTTTTTGAGCATTCCAGGAGCTTTACTCAGTGCATTTTCTAGGTAGCCGTTGAGAAGAGATAGTATTAGAACACCAGCAACTTTGCCATGTGTATCAGTTTATTAGTGTTTAACGTAGCTCTTTCTGTTTCCTTGGGGAGACAATAAGGCATAGTAGAAGAAGCATAAAACCTCGTGGTTGATGACCAGGATTTGAGTTCTGGCTTTTCCGCATAAAAGCTGTGTAACTTTCACGGCATTGTTTAAATTCTATGAGGCTCATTTTCCTTCCCTGTAAGATAGAAACAACAGTAATAATTTTACCTGCTCTGCTTCCTCTACAGCTTTACAAGGTTGAGAGACTTAAATGGGATAAAGTATGTGAAAATACTTGATAAACTGAACTGTACAAATTATTACCATCATCTTTAATGTTTTAATGGCAATTTAAAGTAGTAATATCCGCAAGTGTCCTACTCATTCCTGTTTTACAGATAAGATTGCTAAAGCACAAAGAATGATAAACCTCTTTGTAGTACACAGTAGGACAAAGTTACGTACGATCCAGGACAGCTAGTTTACAACTTGTGTTGCTTTCCCTTGTTATATCCTCTTTATACATACAACTCACATTTGTATGCCAGTCTAATTACACCTGGACTTTTTAAATGCAAAAATCTCTTGTATCAGCTTGCCATTAATAACCACTGCAATTCCACTCCCTCTCGTAATTGTTTGGTAGCCTACATATATAAAAATTACTTATTTTAATAGAGTGTCATGTTCCCACAGCATCCTTAAAATCATTTTTCAGATGAAGTTTGCTTTCCACTCCCTAGAACAGTAGTACATAGCCTTGATTTTTTTTTTTTTTGGCATTGCTATTCTTTGTTCAAAGGAAATCTTATGGCCATCCCATAATATACAATGGATGAAGGTAGAAGAGTGTGTGTGTAAAGTAGAGATGGCAATCGATCCCTGGAAAATCCTAGGGAATCTATGGATCGTAGTTTGAAAATCTCTGCCTTAGAATTGGTCAGAGCTTCCAGTTCAGTTTAATACTTGCAGTGTGTTGAAGTACATTCTGAGTATTTCTCTAGATGTTGCTGGACTTTCCTTGCCTTTGGATGTTATGTAACCTTTCTATTACTGCTTAAAATCGAAAGGAAATGCCTCCAGACAGTCAACAGTAATGTAAGTGTTGAAATTAATATTTTTTTCGAAGCCAACCCATGGAGAAGGTGTGGGAGTAATTGGAGTCATCGAGTGCAATTTCTTAAAACCTGCCTACAACAAACAAGACTTTGAGTACACCAAAGAGTACCGGTGAGTAACTCCCAACCCGACTTGTTTCTGACAGTTTCTTCACATACAATTCTCTTCTATTCTCTGAAACCTCTAAAACCATCTCTAAAAGCCAGCCGGATGAGTTAACTGAGAATTCCTTCAAATCACTCTTCCAAGATTAGAGAGAAAACGATCTGATTTTTCAATTAAAACTTACTGATACATGATAGAGAGAGCCCAGTTGAGATAAACCTTACCTTTAAAAAGTACGGGAAGAGCATGGGAGTCATTTCATAAAATACTTCTGGTGAAACAAAGAGTTGGGATTGATCCTAATGAAAAGGGATGAAAGGATCTGCAGGTATTGAATATGTTGGGGAGAAAAAGCCACAGTTTGAAGTTTGTTCCAAAAGAGTTTCTTGAAGCCAGTGAACAGATTGAGAGGAAAGCAGTGGGAAAGACGTGTGTTTTCATAGAAGCATCTAGATGTCATAGGTGAGATGAGAAAAGAATCAAAACGGAACTTGACATTGAGGCTGAAGCAGCAAGGATATTTTTGGAAGACAAAAAAAAAAAAGTCAATAAAACCAGGATAAAATAGTTTGTTGTAAAGCTTTTCGGGAGGGATGAATCATTCATTCCTTCTTCACCAAGTATGAGATACCTCCCATGTGCTAGGTACTAGGGACAGAAGAATGAAAGGTAAGAATCCTTGATGCCTGTGAACAAATGGGATGAGATATATGCAGATAAGAAACTCACATACCTATAAAATAATTGCTTCAATGGGGGATACGTGCAAAATGGGAAGAGCCTTTAAATACACCGAAATGAGTCACGCAAGGCTTCATTCACAAAGCAGATTCTATTTGAGCTTAAACTTGAAGGAGAAATTGGAGTTCGGAAATAGGGCCAGGACATTCTAAGCACAGGGAAGTATGGGTGCAAAGGCGCAAGTGGTGTTCTGGGAGTAAGGAGAGAGAAGGTATGAGGACATTTGGTTTCGCTCTCCTTGAAGCCTCAGTAGCAAATTTTAGAGTGGGGGGAAAAGCATTTCCCCAAATCTCTTTTGGCGTGTACACAGAAAATGTAATAAAATTAGTTAATTCTTCTACCTCAATTTATCAGAAACCACAGGAATTTTAGGCTTAGTGCTTGAAAAAGAGAGAGCTGTTTGGATAGCAACCCTAAATTAATTTCGGGGCAATAGATTCTTGATCACTAGGGCTACTCAGTGGGTATGGTAACTACCTGCCCTCCGTTTAAGTAAAAAGACCCTTTTAGATGTGAGTCTGGTCCAGAGTGGAGATCTTTGGGACTTGACTCTTCAGAGTGAAAGTTTAGAAATGACACCGATTTGACAAGTCTCAGAGCCAAGTCGTTCTCTTTCTCTTGAGTGAAAGGAACAGTGAATTTCTGGTGATTAACCGAATAGTTAAGATTTGTGAAATCCAAATATTAGATATTAAACATCACTTAACATCTTTCTTATATCCTCTCTGTCACACACACCCCCATCTACCTTTTAAATTTTAGAGGTATTAGACCTTGGCTTGGGATGTTTCGTTTCAGTATGATGAGTTTGAGGTGGTTGCAGGGGATTCAAATAGAGATATTCCATAGACGGTAGGTTTATTTAGTTATAAACATCTAGGATTTTTGCCTTACATAGCTTAATAACTGCTACACATTTTGTTAAAAACAGGAAACTAGTATACTACCCTACATACAGGGTCCTGAGGATAATAAATTTGCATGACTCTTATCCCAGTTCTAGCATCATCATCCTTTTTTTACTCTATTTTATATAAATGAAAAGGTGTTTAGTTAAAAAAAAATAGGGGATTAGAGAAAGCTGTCTGCTATCAGAAACTCATCCTAAGAGTATTGTAGATAACAAAACTGCAAATGCTAAAAGAGGTACCAGCCAATCACAGTGCTGGAACGTCTACAGATAAATCATCCTGTAATATCACTCTTAATAGTTGTGGATATCAAATTCCAGCTGCAGCTATCAGGGCTCAAACTGACAACATTTTTAGAGTGAATTTCAGCTTAAGAAATACAATGAATGTGTACCCACTGAGCACCTCACTGGTGCATGGCACAGTGGCTGGGCTTTATGGAATTTTCCAGAGAAATTCAAGACATGGTTGCTGTCTTTGAGGAGCTTACAGTCGATTTATAATAATGAATTTTCACATACGTGAAACAATTTGGAGAGTAATAACATGGCTGTGTGATCAATCAAAACCTAAGTGATACGATATAGGAAAAAATGCCCTGATAGAGCAGAGAGAGTAGGGAAGGTTTTGGGTGGCAGGTATGACTTGAGATTTGTCTGAAAGGATACAGGACTTAGAAATGGGAGGGAAGGGAATTCCAGGATGGAGCTGTAGCCCCATCTGAGGTAGTGACAGGAACTCAGAATGGTGAGAATATAGGGAGTGGAGATAAGAGGACACGGCTAGAGTGAAAGGGAATAGAGTCGACTGGATAGAGTAGGGCCGTCTCCCAGAGCAGGAGTCAACACGCTTTTCCTGTGAAGGGCCAGGAAATAAGTATTTTCGGTTGTGCAGGCCATGTGGTCTCTGTCACAACTGCTCAGTTCTGCTGTCGTATAAAAGCAGCCCTAGACAAGGAGTAAAGGAATGAGCTGTGTCCGGTACAAGTTTTTTGTTTTCTACAAAAGCAATCGGTGGCCTGAATTTGGCCCCCAGGCTGTAGTTTGGCCACCCCTCTCCTAGAGCCACAGTCCCCAAACGACATGCCAGGCTGCACGTAACAAACTCACAGGGAGCCATAGGGTATTTTAAACTTTTGAGGGAAATACCGTGACACTTGACTTCTGCCTATAAATCCTAGAAATTGTTTTCTCTTCCTGCTGTAACGGATTACCTCTAACTTCACCACTTAACACAACGCTCATTTATTGTCTTCGAGTTCCGTAGGTTCGAAGTCTGACGCAAGTCCCGCTAGGCTGAACTGAAGGTGTTAGCAGGGCTACATTCCTTTCTGGGGGCGCAAGGGTGGGGGGAATCCATTCCCTTGCTGTTTCCAACTTGTAGAGGCTGTTGGCATTCCTTGGCCTGTGCCTGGCCCTCTTCCTCCATCTTCAGAAGGTCGAGTCCTTCTCACATCACATCACCCCATTGACCTTGCTTCTGTCATCACATCTGCTTTCTCTGCTTCTGACTCTTCTGCCTCCACTCTTCTCCTTTTAAGGACCCTTGTGACTACAGTGGATAATTCAGGATAATCTCCCTCTCTTAAGGCCAACTGGTAAGTAAGTAACCTTAATTCCATCTGCAACCTTAATTCCCCTGTGCCATGTAACCCGATATATTCACAGGTTCCAGGGATTAGGACATAGGTGTCTTTGGAGGACCATTATTCTACCTACCACAGCCTGCCCCCTGGCCTTCGAAGATCCACTTATATCTCACCTGCAGAATACATTCAGCCCATCGCAGCATCCCCAAACTCTCGACTGTTACAGCGACTCTCAAGGCTAAACTCTTGCCTCAATGTCAGCAGCTCAAAATCCCCAAATCTCATTCATCTACATCAGGTGTGGGTCTGAGGCATCCTGGGGTAAAATTCCTCTCCCATCTGCATGTGGGTTTTTTGTTTTGTTTTGTTTTGTTTTTTTGTTATTTCACTCTCAAAATATAATGGTGAGACAGGCGTAGGATACCAGTTACAGATATTCCAGTTCAAAGAGGGAGAAAAATGGAAGGAAAACGAAGTCACAGGTCTCAAGCAATTTCCCAAAATGCAGCCAAACTAATTCCATTACATTTCAAGACCTGTGACTAATCTCCTGGGGCTTGCAGCTTCATCCTGTGAACTTCAGGCTCCGTCCTCTGGGCCCGTGGCTGCAACCTGAGTCCTCTTTCCTTTTTCAGGGAAGGAGCATGTCTGTACAGCTCAGGAGCCTCGTCAGCCTGTTTCCCGACTCTAGAGTTTCGGAGGTCCACCAGCCTTCTTTCAGTTTTATACTCTCTCCATCCCTTCAGTCCAGTGAGGGAGTTCGTGGGCTAATATGCCATCCTCGAGAGCCTTGTGGGTCTCACATGTATGTCATGGATATTCATTCGGTCAGACAAGAAGCTCTTGACAGGTCTTTCCTCGATAATCCTATTTCTATTCTTGGCTTCTGCTGAGATGGCTGTGGAGGTCTGAGTCACATGTTTAAGCTTTTCAAAGAGCTTTTTGTGTGACTGAATACTCTGACCTTTTGATCTGAGATATTAGCAAAAGGTTTTCTAGCCACAGCCTTGGCTTTTTCTCTAGAGCATGCTTTCCTGACAGGGAATGTCTCAATTTTAGCATCTTCTGCAGTCCGGATAGGCTGAGGACTTCCAAAATCAGTAAGTCCTGGTTCCTTTTTGTCCAATAGTTCTTTCTCAGTTTATTTGTTTCCTCCCACGTTTTATGTGAGCAGTGAGAAGACACTAGGCCACAACTTTCAACACTTGCTTGGAAATCTCAGCTAAATGTCCAGTGTCATCATTTATAAGTTCTGCTTTCCACAGAACTGTAGGACACAATTCTGCTAAGCTCTCTGCCATGATGTAGCAAGGATGACCTTCCCTCAAATTTTCCAGTAGCATGTCCCTCATTTCCTCCTGAGCCTTCACCAGCAGCACCTAATTCATCATCTGTGATTCTACTAACAGTCTGTACCCAGTGATGTAGGTAGTCTCTGAAGAAATTTGTGTTTTTCTCCACCATGCCCCTCACTTCCTTCTGAGCCCTCACTGGGGGGTTGTTTAACATCCATATTTCTACTAACCGTCTGTTCAATCTAGAATCTAGGTTACAATCTCAGCTATTTCGGTCATGGTCCTCAAATTCTTCTGGCCTCTGCCCACCGCTCAGATCTAAAGCTGCTTTCCCATTTGGGGGTATTTGTTATAGCAGCACCCCGTTGCCAGGTACCAAAATCTATTGCATTCCTTTTGATTACATTGCATCTTTGCAAGTTTGGGTGTTTAGTGGTTGCTGTGATGAAAAAGTAACACATGAGAGAAATGAGGGACGCAGTGTCCAGTTTCATTCCAAGGTTTGAGTAGTGGTACACTGCCCAACAGGCATGCCCACGCATGCATCCCATTAGTAATTGTGGCTATTTAAGAATGAAATAAAAATTTCTTTTTCAATTCGTATGTATTATTTTCTCAAATAGATACTAAATTTTAGTACATAAATACTGATTAAATTGTTTGGACCTAACGGTGTGGTAACTGGAGCTAGTACATACTGCTTTTCACCTAAGGGTGCCATGCAAAACTCAAGACACAAAGGGTGCCATGAACCGAGAAGCTTTGAGAACTTCTGTCTTAGAGGGATGTTGGGTAGAGTAAAGTTGATGCCTTAGACAGTGAGACATCATTGTGTATTCTTGAATGGGGGAGTGATTTGAAACCATTCTATCTTAAGGATATAGTATATTATAACTGTATACAGCTTTATGGTTTTTAAGGTGCTTTACATGAATTAGGTCAGCTGATAAATCGGGAAACGGAGCACAGGATGGATTGAATGAAGGATTAAAGGCTCTTGGAGTAACCTAGGTGTGAGATGAATGTCTAAAATAAGAGTAGCCGTGAAGAAGGAAGTATAGGACAGATGCTGTGAAGAAAAGTTCCCACGATTTTGGTGACATATTAGATAAGGGATATAAAAGAGAGGGAAGAATCAAAGATCGTTGCAAGGTCTCAAATTCAGTACACTGGGATATTGGCAGGATCACTGATAGAGTAATGACTCTACTTTGAGAAAAGGAACTGGTGGAGTGGCAATGGTGGAAACTAGACCATAGGGGGGTGGTTAAGACAGGAGAATGAAGAGGAGGTAGTGAGTGTAGACCACATATACCAGGATTGGGGAAGTAAAGGGAAGGAGATGAATAGAACAGTGTTTTTGGAGAAGAAATGGGATTGTAGAATACATGGTAACAGTATCTTGGTTGAGATGGTAGTTACATGAGTATACATTTGTCAGAACTGTTAGAACTACACACTTAAAGAAGATTAATTTTACTCTGTGTAAATTTTACCTGAATACATGAAAACAGAACTTTATTTTTCTTTTTAGTTAAGATATAATTTACATACTATAAATGTCACCATTATTAAGTGTACACTACAGTGATTTTAGCATATTCACAAATTGTGCAACCATCGCCACTGTCGAACTCCAAAACATTTCCACCACCCTAAAAAGCGACCCCTTGTCTATTAGCAGTCACTCCAATCCCTGGCAACCGCATAATCTACTTCCCTTTATTCCTCCAGTATTTTTTTATTGTGGTAAAATAACAGGTACTGTAAAATTTACCATCCTAACCATTTCTAAGTGTATGGTTCAGTGGCATTAAGGACATGCACACTGTTACGCAACCATCACCACCATCCATCTCCAGAACTCTTGTCATCTTGCAAAACTGAAACTCTATACCAATTAAACAATAAGTCCCCATTCCCACTTTCCCCAGCCCCGGGCAACCACCATTCTCCTTTCTGTCTCTATGATTTTGACTACTCCAAGTACTTCATTTAAGTGAAATCACACAGTAATTTGTCTTTTTGTGACTGGCTGATTTCACTTAGCATAGGGTCCTCAAGCTTCCTACATGTTGTAGCATGTCAGAATTTCCTTCCTTTTTTAAGGCTGAATATATATTCTATTGTGTGTGTATGTATCTATACATAGGCACACATGCGCACGCTCGCAATACATTTTGCTCATCCATTCATCCATCAGCACACTGGGTTGCTTCCACGTTCTAGCTCTTGTGACTTATAGTCTATTTTGTTGGATATTAGTATAGCCACCATTTCTCTCTTTTGGTTACTGTTTACATGGAATATCGTTTCCCATCCTTTCGCTTTCAACCTATTTGTGTCTTTTTTATCTAAAGTTCATCTCCTATGGGCAGCATATATTTACATCATGTTTTTTTTTCCCCCCAGTCCACCAATCTCTGTTTCTTGATTGGAGAGTTTAAACCATTTACATTTAAAGCACTTATGGATAAGGAGGGACTTCTGCCATTTTGCTCTGTTTTCTATCTGGCTTAGAAGATTGTTTTTTTTGGTCCCTCATTTCCTATATTACTGTCTTCTTTTGTGTTCAGTTGATTTTTTTGTAGTGAAGATTTATTTCTCATTTCTTTTTGTGTATATTTTATAGCTGTTTTCTTTGTGGCTACCATGGGATTACATGATCCTGTGATCAGGAGCATCAAACAGTAGTCAGAGTGCAGATCCCCAATATTTGGAGGACAGGCTCTTTTTGCCCACCCTGGCTCCTGCAGGCTGCTCCTAAAATGTGTGCACAGCTGCCTGCCATGGGCCTGTGCATGGGAGATGGTAGCTACTCCTGTTCTAAGAGCTGAAATTTGCCGATGTACCATTCAAGCCTTCTCCCAAAAGTTGCAAGCCATCAGTAGACTCTAGAGTTCCACATAGTTCAGAAAGTTCTGCCAGTGCAGTGGCTGTCTAGGTGGGGGGATAGATTCCTGGTGCCTCCTACCCCATCATCTTTCCAGAATCCCATCTAATCCACTACTTTTAAAAATAGTTTTAAGGGGCGCCTGGGTGACTCAGTCAGTTAAGCGTCTGCTTTCAGTCCTGGGAGCCTGCTTTTCCCTCTGCCTGATGCATCTCCCTCTGCTTGACACTTCTCCCTCTGCCTGATGCTTCTCCCTCTGCTTGACACTTCTCCCTCTGCCTGATGCTTCTCCCTCTGCCTGCCGCTCCTTCTGCCTGTGTGTGTGCACACGCTCTCTCTCTCTCTGACAAATAAATAAAATAAAATCTTTTAAAAATAGTTTTAAAATAGAATTGTAAGAGAAAACAAGGAATAGTTCTTCGTCTGTGACTTGAAGGAAAGATACAAACATAGAAGTGTGAACGTTAGTAGCTTGGAGGGGAGTAAGTGTTTATAGGGGAGCTCACGGATGATGACTCTTCTCTGTGTAGTCAGAATCTAACTTAATATTAGTAAAGTGGAGGTAAGGAAGAATTCCTCTTAAGGAGAGAAGAGGTCTACAGAACCCTTCGGAATGACCCAAGGAGTCCAGAGATTTTTAAAAAATACTAAATTTGTAGTATTTTAGGTGTGTACAGCTCTACAATAAGATATAATCCTATGTTACAGAATTAAATAAGGACTAGTCATTTGAAATGGGCAGTTTTTAAAAAGTAAAATTCATGTTTTGTCTTAACATGCATTCCATCGTTTGACCCTAGGTTTACTGTTGTTCATTTGGGCAGAGAGATAAAAGAAAAAGAGCAAGAGCCAGAGCTGGGCCCCAGCCTCCACTAACAGATGCGCAGTGGAGGGTGGACGGGGACTTGGTTGTTCACTGGTGCCCTAACTGCTGTGATCAACATTTGAATGAAGAGCTATGTAGATATTTTTTAAGTTAGCATTGGATTGATTTGTAATAAGTAGGGTGCAGTATTTGATATTTGATCCTGACTTTCAACTTGGTCCTGAATTGTTTACCTGTAGTCATCTGACAGTCGGAGTAGCTCCACATCAACTTCTCAGTATGGCTCTGTCCTCGCTCTGCAATTTAGTCTTTTGTCATTGTCTACAGTGTCAGCTCTCCCACCTCATGATTCTAAAAGCCCTGAAAATTTGAAGAACACAGTCCTTTTTAGGACTTGTGATGATTTTACCTTTGCAACCAAAATGACCACTTAACATTACGACTTCATCATTTTGACATGTAATTTGCAAAGGCAGTGGATTCCCACCTTAGTTTCTGAAAGTGTAGATGTTCACACTTAGGCTGAATATTCTACACTGTCGGCTTCTGCTAAATGGGAGCATCTCAAAAATCGTAAAATTGTTCAACAGATCCTCAGCATCGACGTGCTTCTTCTTGCTTTTTCTTTCAGGTTGACAATAAATGCCCTTGCCCAGAAGCTCAATGCTTATTGGAAGGAAAAGACATCCCAAGAGAATTTGGAGACCTCAGCCATTGCCAGGCCAATACCGTGAGTAGTAAATACAGGATATAAAAAGTATCAGGGGTGATGTCCATAGAACAAATGGAAGGAACAAGAGTAGTAAGATGGTGCTTTTCACGTAAGGAAATTTAATGAAGTAAAAATAGGAAATCACAGGTACTAATTTCATCATTCTCTAGACCTCTTCATTCTGGTTTAACACTTGCATGGTTTGGCTCTTAAATAGGAAGAGTTTAGGACTGTGAGTTTATCCTACAGGCAGTGTGATATAGTGGAAGATGATGGCCATTTAAATAAGACACTCCCGGGTTGAAAATCTGGATCTGCTTCTTAATAGTTGGGTGAGCTTCGGTAAGTAAGTTACTTCACCTCCGTGAGAATATGAAATTAGCATGACATTTTTAGCATAGTACCTGGCATATGATAAGTGTTCAGAAATGTTAGCAAACTTCCCTTCACTTTATTCTTAGTGAACATTGTTGGATCTGTACCAAGGAATTTGAGGGTAGAAGTAGAGAACCCAGCATATCAGGAAAAAGGTAGAATTTATTGAATCTAAGATGGGCAGTTACATACAGAACTGTGGATCAGGATGACATGCCTCGGTGAGCCAGGAAGGGAGCATAAAGCAGAGGATGGAATGTGTAACAACACATACATAATCAATTATACCACCACCACCGTCATGACAAAGATTAGAGTGTTAAGAGTTTATTTTGGGGATTGTCCCCTGTGGGTTTTTTTTTTTTAATGGAAGTTATCAGGCAAATGTATGATATAAAATTTCATTTCAAATGCAACATGATCGGCTGTTGTGTGAATCACTGTCTTATTCTGAAGATCTCTGCTCATGTCCAGACTCTGTGGTTTTCAAAGAAATGCCAACTTAGACAAGATGCCATTTTTTTTTTTGCCTTGCAAATAAGCAGTGATTAATGCAATGAAGCAGATGTTCATATATTGCTGGAGTGTGTGTGTATGTGTTATACAACCTTTCTGGAGGCAGAATTGTAATAATTATTATTATTTATTGAGTACTTATATGCCAGGCCCTGGTCTAAGTTCTTTACATGTAAATTTATTTGATCATTACAACAACCCTATGAGGTAGACAGAATCATCATTTACCTCTTTACGAATGTAGATACTGATACACTGAGAACTTAACTTGCTCAAGATGAAACAAGTAGAAAGTGGTAGATACAAGGTTCAAATATAGGCATTCAGCCCCCCAAACCCAAGTTCTTAGCCATGACACTCTTCTGGAGGGATGCAGTGAGGGGAATATGGTGTAACCCCTTCAACTACCTATTTATTGAAAGCACGAGCTAAATGCCTCTCCTGTCTGCCTGGGTGGAAGAATCTACTGTAGTCTGATGTAAGCTGAGGAAAGGAGTTGCTGTCTCTAATGCTTGTCTCCAAGGCAGTAATATTGGTATACTTCTGTAAGCAGCTCTTCTGTGCATCTACATGTAAAACCAAAGCCAATATGACCTTTCCTCTCCCCTCCCACTACTTCTGAAAGTGCTTTTTGCTGTCTCTGACTCTAAGTAAAACAGTGGCTGTATGGAAATATGTGGACACCAGAGGTCAGGTCTGAGCTTGGAGCTTAGAGGTTACAAGGCTGGAGCAGCCTGGAGCTAGGAGAGGGGAAGAAGCTATATGTCCAAAAACATGTATGAATTCTCTTTGTTAAAACAGAGTTTTATTTTTTAAAAAAGATTTTTATATACTTATTTGTTAGAGAGAGAGAGAGCGTGCACAAGCAGGGGGAGCGTCAGGCAGAGGGAGAAGTAGGCTCCCTGCTGAGCAGGGAGCCCAATGTGGGACTCGATCCCAGGATGATGCGGGACTTGATCCCAGGACCCTGGATCATGACCTGAGCCGAAGGCAGACGCCCAACTGATTGAGACACCCAGGCGTCCCTAAAACAGAGTTTTAAACAAGAAGAGGACATTGTGTTTGAGTAGTAGAAATATGAGTGCCTTTTCTTTTTTATATTTTTCTGTATTTTCCAGTTTTTCTATAATAAGCTTATATTTTTATAGCTAGAAAAAAAGCATCATTTAAAAAGATAAGGAAGGGGCGCCTGGGTGGCTCAGTTGGTTAAGCGTCCGACTCTTGATTTCAGCTCAGGTCATGATCTCAGGGTCGTGAGATCAAGCCCCACATCGGGCTCCGCACTGGGCATGGAGCCTGCTTAAGATTCTCTCCCTCTGCCCCTTCCCCTCCCCACTCCACTCCCTGCTCACACGCGTGTGCGCGCTCTCTCTCTCTAAGAAAAAAAGATAAGGAGAACATTGAACTAAGACATAAAAGAACCCTATGGCTGTATTGCAATGGCCACTAGAAAAGCAGTATAAATGTAACATACACGCATTATGCTCTAGGCTAAATTACGTGTTTCTCAGATCGGTCCTCGGTGCTTTCTGCCCTCTTTTTGCTTTTCTCCAGCCTTCTCCCTCCAGTCTGCTTTTCACACTTCAGATGCGGACTACTTCTGTTATATACAGACCATCTCCTTTCTCAGAGCTACACAGTCACTGAGGTATAGGTGACTGGGTTATGCTTCCTGGCAGCGATGGGAGTGGCTTTGTGTCTTAAGCATAGAACTCTGGAAGGATTTTAAAAACCTTAATTTAACCCAGTTGTTGGCCTGGAGCCACCATATCTAGTTAGGAAATTTATTCACATTTATAGGACTTTTTAAGATTAATGTTGGGAATATCAACCTAATAAAATTTTGACTGAAGTATAAACAAAGACTTTCAAACAGAGAAAAAGAGAGGACTAGGGAGTCTGCAGGGAAATGGGGGAGATTTGACGATGATGATGCTTCCGTGACTTCCACAAATGCCTTTCAACCCTGTCACACAGTTGGATGGGAGCAAATAAAATGATTCTATGGGTTTTATTTCATGGTAATACTGTTACATATCTATATGTATATAAATTTTTCCCTAGTTAATTAATTTTAGAGTTAAAATTATCCTCTTGTTTGCTTAGAACAAGAGATTCTGGGTAAATACGATTCACTTCTGTAAATAATGGTAGCTTAACATGTTAATATTTGTTACTATTTTTCATACCTATATCTGGTATAGTTCTATTATTATTTTATTTGTGACGTTCAAGATACATGTTTTAGACACCTTGACCATAACGTAACAGTTCTAACATATTTCATATATAAAACTTTGTTCTTTCACTTTTAGGGTGCGCCTTTCTAACGTAAGGGCACAGAGCTAGGATATACACAGTCATACTTCTGTTTTCCTTCATTCAGGAAGATTCCTGACCAGACATGGGTACAGTGTGATGAGTGTCTTAAATGGAGGAAGCTTCCTGGCAAGGTTGATCCATCTACATTACCTGCAAGATGGTTTTGTTACTATAATTCCCATCCGAAATACAGGTAAGGTTGGGACTCAGTGCTGTGTTAGAGAAAATTCCTGATTTGTCTCTGCGTTCTAAAACACTTTTAAAAAAAGATTTTTTTTGAGTATAGTTGACCTATAATGTTACATTGCTTTCAGATGTCTGAGGCGAGCATAGTGATTCGACAAGTCTGTACGTTCTGCTGTGCTCACCACAAGCGTGGCTCCCCTCTGTCCCCATACAGCAGTGTTACTGTACCAGGGACCATGTTGCCCCTTGCCGTACCTTTTATTCCCAGGACTTACTCATTCCATAACTGGAACCCCACCCCCTTGCACTCATTTTGCCCACTTAAAACACTTGACCTCCAGTCCGCACTCTGCAGCCTGGCATCCGAGCCCCATGCTAACCGACCCCACCCTACCTGCCCAGCCTTTGTTTTTGTTGTACCTCAACGCAAACCGTATGCTTTGGCCAGACCTGCAGCTCCAGTGTTCCCTGCGTGCGCCGTGCTTGTTCCCTCCTCCGTGACTTGACCGTGTCATTCGGCCTGCTTGCAGTGAGTTTCTGCATTCCGTCTGCCCACCTGCACCGCAGCCCTCTGGGAAGCCGAAGTATTCTTGTGTGATACCTCTCCTGTTGACAATAGTTTACAGTGATTTTATGCTGGCTTCCTGTGGTCTTTAATTCTTGACACTTTTGTTCACATCCTGTTTGGTATGCTTTAGATGGTTTTCATATGTATATACTTTGGCTCTTCCAGAGACTGTAAACTATTCGAGACCAAGGGCTTTACATTTCAGGTGGGGTTGATGATTTTCTTCCCATGCTTCCCTTCCTCTGCCTAAATCTGTTGTCGTACCTTATTGTGCATTTAATGCCATCTGTTCACATGTACCCTGCAGGATCTAACAGCTAGATACTGCCTGGCATATTGGTGAGCATTCATTTCAATTTAACAAATATTTTCACTTTGACTCAGTAGTCACAAAGGTTCAAAAGAATAACTCCTTTTGCTTCACTTCAGCTGTGACTTTCTTAGTATTTTTTTCCTGTGGGATAAATGCTGATAGAAAAAAAAAGATACTAAAACAGGGTATGCGTTTTCAGAAAAATGTTTAAAATGGAGGAAATTAAGTAAATGAGGTCTAGGTCTATGATGAGTAAGCATTCCCCCATCATCGTCTACTGATGTCCTGAAGCCCCTCTCCCTGGACAGTAACCGGGACTGGGGGCTAGAATGTGGGACTGAGTGCTTAGCAGTCTCCCTTTTGAAGCCTGGATCTTCTGTCGGTTTACACTTTAGTCCAGAAGACATAACCTTCCGGGACGTGCCTCCTTATAAAACGGGTATATCATAGGGTTTCCAGTTGTTACTAATTTTCATTTATTTGTTCTAGGATTGCTTTTGATGATTGAATACATTTTCTAGTACTCCTTTTAGTGTTTACTCCTGAGATTCTCTTCCCTGTGCTCTCTACATATAGCAGATGTATTTCCATTTATAGAATCCTTTCTCTCCTCTGTGCTCTAGTCTCCGCTGTGTTGTTTTTACAACGTCAGCTCCTAATCTCTTATTGCTTCCCTCTGTCATAGCCTCTGATTTTCTTCTTCAGGTATCATCACTTAGTTTAGGGATTCTCATGCTTCTAGACTGCACCTTGGGAATTACTTTCTTCGTAAACCAGAGGCAAAAGACCCAGGTTCTAGTCTCAGCAATCATCTCTTTGTGTGGATCCTCGGGCAGGTCTCTCTTGTGCTTGAAATCCACTGTGTAAGAATAGAGATTATGCTTCTTGCCATCCACCATCATAGGAGTTTTGTAGCTGTCAGGTACTTTGAATGTCTTTGGGGAAAGGTGATATAGACACCAAAAATAATTAGATAATGGTATGCCTTGAAGTAAGATTGCTACATGTTGGATGCCTGGGTGGCTCAGTCGGTTAAGCATCTGCCTTTGGCTCAGGTCATGATCCCAGGGTCCTGGGATAGAGTCCCGCAAAGGGCTCCCTGCTCAGCAGGGAGTCTGCTTCTCCCTCTCCCTCTGCCTCTCCCCCTGCTCCTGCGTGTGCTCACATGCGCGCACTCTCTCTCTCTCGCTCTCTCTGTCTCTCAAATAAAATCTTAAAAAAAATAAAAGAATTGTTACATGGTGACCTGGCACACGGGTTTTGTAATGTGAGTGGAATCTGAACTCTATAGTGTCAGAGGGTTGTTGACCTCTATGACCTGCCTCGTCATAGTTGTAAGAAAAGTAAAGGGTAAAACCTAAGGGCACATTTTGTTTCCAAAAGATGATTTCTTCTCTGTACTGCAGGAGATGCTCTGTTCCAGAGGAACAAGAACTCATCGATGAAGACCTGTACTTGAGCAAAGCTAAGAAACAGTTGAGTATACCTAAGGTTCTCGATCATACAGTAGAGGGGCCTGACCCTTTGTAACAGGACGGGGGAAATTTTGAGAAGAGAGATGATTTTTTTTTTCTTTTTTGGCTTTGAATGATTTCCCTCTCACTTCTCTGTTCTCCCAATTCTTTTTATTTTTTTCTTTCTAATCACCTCCTGAATGTCTAACTCATGATTGTCTTCTGTCTCTCACCTTCCCCTCCCCCTCTCTCTTTTGATGGAGCATTTGATCTCTCTCTTCAGTGGCAGAGTTTAGGAAGACACCCTCAGTTACTCAGTGAGGCCCACACTATTTCTAATTCGGAAGGAACATTATAACCTCAATCTACAATTGAAAATCCATTGCAGATGGAGAAATTTCACGAGTGAACTGAATAGCACTTTTATCTTCTCCTAGAGATCAAGCCGTTGAGAAGAAGAAGCTGCCAGTGGACAATGAGAACCACCAGGTGAGAGACAGTCCACCCTCTTTCTTTTCTCACACGAAATTTTCCCCAACAGAGGACATAGGTTGAAGGGAGCAGCAGTCTTGAAAGCTGCATAGAAATAATGAACCATTTCTTCTGGTGGTCTTTTTTTCCATTGGATCTTTTGATTTTGCCTTGATCTGTTACTGATGTTCAGATCACCAAAAATAGAAGAGCCAAATCTTTTATTTCCCAGATTTGGATTTCGTACTGATTCTGGACAGTGTGAATGTCACGTTCAGTGTCACAGAACATTCAGGGTTGTGTTCCATCCTCATACCGGCTGCTCCTGTTGAGTGTCTGGTTTTTCCTCAGTCTCCTTTCTTCCAGGATTCAGGGATGATTCCTTCCTCCTTCCTCTCAGGAAGGAGGGGTGGTTCTCTGTGCCCCTCCCCTATCCCTGCTTTCAGGCTGGCTGGCTTTATAAAGACTCTGCTGTTTTGAATTTTCAGGAGCACTGTCTCTCGGACATGGTTGCCCAGCTCCGGACGCTGAAGGGTGCAATAAGGTTGGCCGTCCTCAGGGACACTCCTTTCCTGACAGCCACCATAGCACCCATGTATCTTCCCCACCCAACCTTGCCTTTCTGCATGATTTTCCTCTTGACCCTCTTTCCCAGAGATATCTGCTAGTAGCATGTTAGATTCACCTTCTCCCCCTGCCCCCGCCCCAGTCAGGGTAGGTCAGACTGGTGAGGATAGAGGCAATCTAATACTAATTCTTCTTGTGACATCCTGCCGAGACCCAGGCATATGAATACACAGGTTTCATACCTTAATGTCTTGGCTTAATCGTCTGATCTAGAGATTGCGAGATTTCCTGGGACCGCCCTGTCCTCATTCAGTTTACCTCCCCTTTATATACCTCCACCTTCATCATTTCTACTCTCTTCCTCAGCTGGCTCTCCCACAAGATCTTAGATGCATGTCTCTGTGTGTGTGCACTGTGAATATGCGTTAGTCTCTCGCATGCATTTCTCCAAAACCAGCCCTGACACTTGCTGCAATGCTCATTCTCTCCACCCCTGCCCGCATCACAGATCTCAGAGGAGTGAACACCCAGCCCTAAACTGGGTCACAGGAGAGAATTAGATGGTGATTAGGGGGCCTGGGTGTGTGTTGTGGGTGGGATGACTCTAGGAGCCAATAAGTGAGTTGGGGAGGTCTGTTGGTGTCCAGCCGATAAGGTTATAACTGAACTGGGTTCAGTGGTCTAGTGTACATTACCTCGCGCTGTTTGTTTTGTGTAGGAAACCAGTTTCTTTTTATTTGGCCAAGTGTTTTCTCCTAGCATCAGAAGGATTTGACTCATCCTTTTGGTATTTTGTTTGAAATTGGGATTTTTATGAATCGCTTCTTTCTTTGCTAGGTACTTGCTAATCCACTGAAGATCCCTGCTATTCAAGATATGGATGAATTGAACAGTAAGACAATTGGATACGAGGGAATGGACAGACCTAGCCGGCCTCCCTCTGTTGGAGAAGAAAGCAGGACACCTTCTCTTCAGCTTAAGCCTCTGGATTCCAGTGTTTTTCAGTTTTCCAGGTGGGTAGAAAACGTAGTGTGTCTTCAGTAGTAAGCCTCGGGCTCCGTTTTCCTGTAAAGTTGGGACGGTTATGGTGTTTATGTTTCTCCTGAGGCCTAGCATGGACTTCAGATGGAGAAACACGATGTGGGGGTAATAGAACTATGTGTTGCGTGTACTTGCAAGTTTTCAACATTACAACTGCTGTGTCAAGTCTGTCTGTTTCTCTCCTTTGAGGTAATCATCCAACAAATACTCTTTTATGTATTTTGTATTCACATTATGTTGGGAACTGTGTTAAGTGAAATAATGGACGTGAAAACTTTTTGAAAAGCATAATGTGCACTCCAAATGTAAGGTAATGTCACATAGGTGAGCGTTCTTTCTTTCCTTAAGCTTAGGAATATTGAGGTCCCGTGGGGCCCCATAGGCCTAGCACATGTTGGCCACATATAAAAAATAACTATTAGAAGTTTGTGCCATTAGGCAAGCCTTCTCGTTCATTGTCTCCTAGAGCCAGTTGTGAATGTGAGTTAGTTTTGGGTTTCACTTGTCCATCTTCTAGCACCTCGTCGGTATAATTTTGTTAGTCTTTATAACAGGAAGGCGCATACCTTTTCTTTTTCTTAAATAACAAGGGTATTTTGAAGTGTTGGAAGATACGGCTGCCCCTCTACTACCATGAGACTGGAACTCAGGACTCCTAGTTAGGACTTGGCTTCTCCTCTCTGCTATGCTTCTCGCTTCTGGCAGGGCCAGACCATAAGGCATGGACAGAGGTGCTCTTTAAAAGTAGAAACTTCTGCAGTCATCAGTAACGTGACTGTTATATCATGGGTTATGAACTTTTCGTTGACCTCTTCATTTGGGGTATTTTCTTAATCTAGTCTAGGATAGAAGCGATGGTATATATATAACAGGGTAAACAAACAAACAAACAAAGCACCCAAAAAACGACTCCTGGCTTTCCCCCCTGATGTTACTGATTCTTTTCCTTGTGTCTTGCTTCGTAGGTGGGTCTTTTCAGCTTCTCATCTAGACAAACATCTCCACATGTGGCCAAGTCCCCTATTCTGTGATTCTTCCACAATTAAGCCCTGTAGACATTGGGAGAAGCCCATGACCCCCCTGAACATGAACAAAAGGTCTTGAGAGGAAGTAAGCTATCTTAGGAGCGACACTAACAAAACTCTGAAGGAATTAAATGAGAATCGGTGTGAGATCACCTAGAACGATGCCTCGGAAGCTAGGAGGCACTCAGTAACTACTGTGAAATCGGAGTCCTGTGGCAGGAGCCGTTTCTAAGATTGAACTGTGCAGCAAAATATAGTCCAGTCCGTCTCAGGGCCTTGAGTCTCATTTGAGTCTGTTCCCACCCGTAGTTTTCCAACTCCCGTTGTAGGTGGGGAGGGACATACAGTCAAGCGCTGTGTGTTTTTGAAGCACCTTGTTGCCTCTCTGCTTCGATCTCCTTGAGGTGGCCACGCATCCAAATTGCCATTGGCATTTCAAGCTGTCGTAGCTCTTGAAGGCTGTCCTTTCCCTGCTGCGACCACTGTCTTTTCCTTTTTCTTCAGTGTTTCTTTTGTTACCCTAGAGTGGTTTCCAGTCCCCTGAAGGAGGTCACAGACGCGGATACATGTATGTGTGTATTTAATGTGTGCAGTATGGCAGTATAACCATTGGGTGGCAGACTTCATCAGGCTTTAATGGGATTTCTGTAAGCATTATTTACCGAACGGCCACATCCAGATTTGGGTTTTGGCTACAGAGGACAGGCAAAAGTACATCATTTGTGTGTAATTTTAATTTGAGAATAATATTCTTTCAAGGGAAAGAGATAACGTGATCATTGATGTTGCTAATGTCATATTTTATGTAGGCTCAGTAAGCTGAGGATGTCATTTTAAGCTACATGGGTAAGGGGATTCAGATTGAGCGCAAAGAATCCGCCTTTTCATAGGGAGAAATGAAGGTACACAAGAGTTTGGTAAAATATACAGGGTTTTCTTGGTACAACAATGTTAATGAAATAATAGGTTTAGTTAGGAGTTACAAAGGTCTCCTTTGTTATTATCAAAACCTGAAGCTGATAAGGGTCCTTGGGTCATGTAGTATAGCTTTCCAACTCTAGATAAAATAAAGCCCATACTATCCAAGAGAGTTTTTTAAAAGTTTGAGCGGGGTAAGTTATATGACCTAGCAGGGGCCCCCGAAGGGTCATTGGAAATAGCTTTGTGAGTTTCACAAACTAGCCAAGGGGATGGGAGGACGTGCAGTGGAGAGTAAGTTCAGCCAGGATGCAAGTGGGCATAATCGTTTAGCTTATTTCTGTTAAAGGAAATAGTCCTTTCTGTTCATTCATACTGCATATATTTGAGTGCTTGCTGTATGAAAGGCAATGTTCTAAGGCAGCGATGGAATCAAAAATGAAGGAGCTTATGGCAGTCAAAGTTATACATGTAAGTATCCCCAATACATGCTAGGTTTCATACGTGTGGTTACAAACGTAAGGTCCAAAGTATCCATTAGCATATGGACAAAGGAGAGAATTAGTAGCTGTAATTTATTTAGATGTTTAGAGACCCCTTGAATAAACTGTATGTCAAAGGCTAATGATAAATAGTTCATGTTTTATTTTTTATCTTTTTATTATTTTTGAAGATTTTACTTATTTATTTGACAGAGAGAGACACAGTGAGAGAGGGAACAGAAGCAGGGGGAGTGGGAGAGGGAGAAGCAGGCTTCCCGCCGAGCAGGGAGCCCGATGCGGGGCTCCATCCCAGGACCCTGGGATCATGACCTGAGCCGAAGGCAGACGCTTAACAATTGAGCCACCCAGGCGCCCCTTAGTTCATGTTTTAAAAAGGATAACAAAAAGAGACCATCCAAATTACACTGTAATAGTCGAAGGAGAGGAAGACAGACATCCTAATATGTTTGAAGGAATATTTGAAAACAACAAACACAAGGTAGAAACAGAAGAACAATTTTATAAGTGAATAAGATGGATTCAGCAGCCAGTATTAACATTTTAATGAGAGAGACTTCCAGAATGGAGAAATGTGAAGTGTCATGGACTCTTTCACCAACAAATAACCATTTAACTGGAAAATATTATTAAACAAAACAAGCATTTGAAGTTCCTGGAAATTGTCCTAGAGGCATTTAGCAAATACATATTCATTCAAGAAAACCTATGAAATCTCAGAGACAACCACAAGAGTCTTCAGCATTTAGCTTGCTCTCGTCCCCCTCCAAGCTGTATTTTACAAAAACTTCTCAGGGAGCTCCAATCCAGCCGGGTGCGGTCAAGAAGCTGCGGGCTCCCTCTTTCCCTAGCTCCCAGTCTAGAGCTGTGGTTTCACCTGGGTCGGACAGGCCTCCGACATTTCTTGTGTCCCCTAGTTCTGTCTTGCCTAAGCTCTATTCCAGGCAGACCCGGAGGACTAGGTCTCTCTCCTCCCACCCAGCCCCCACTCAGGGTGGAGGCTCTCCCCCAGGGAAAGCGTGCTGACGATACTGGACTCCTGTTGCTCTAGCCCCAGCATGCTTATAGGACAGAGGTTCATGCCGGAAGCAGCAAGCCCAAGAAAACATGCCAGCATCCACATTCATAAAGAAAACTTCTTTATTTCATGCCACTTCTGCACAGTGGCACTGAGGTTCTGCTTAGGGCAAGAGGCCTTAAAGATGAAGAACTTCACTCTACCGGAAGGAGCTGACTTTTATTATATGGAATGGATCACGGAACATTCCATTCATAAAAGCATTGTCAAAAATAACGGAGATCTCGGTGAGCAGTAATTAAGGGAGCACTCAGCTCCGTGATACACGTTACAATGAGCAAAATGGCCGAGAGGTCAGAAGTTTGGTAACAGAGAGAACCAAGGAGAAAGCCAGTCAAAAGAGCTCTCCTGGGATCACAGTCAGCCCTGGGATTAGGAAGGCTGTGCATAAACACAAGGCTCCATTTACTCAGGAGCAGTCAGACCAGGACATGCAGTGGACTTTACATCAGTCCTCGAGCCTCACGCAGATCAAACAACAAAAGGACAGGGCCCTCACTGGCACTAAGGGCTTACGCACAGCCTCTGACCAACCACTGGCCCATTCATATGCTTTTCTGACCCACGAACAATTCCTAGGAAACCAGGCCGAAAAAGAAATCACACATATCCTGATAGACTGGAAGACCACGTACGTGCTCAAAGTTGTGCCCTCTCCGAGGAGATTCAAGAGGGAAAAATCCAAGCCGTTACTGCCTGGCCGGATGTGGGGCCGAAACAGATTCCTTGAACTGTGATAGCGGCCTCCACGCCACACATACATCCAATGGGAAAGGGTAAAAATCTAACTGGCTGAGGGGGCTTAAGCACAGTCTTTGACCAGTCAGTGGCCTATGCTGACCCAGGGCTGACCCCTAGATTGCCAGGTAAGAGGAGAAACCAAGAAGAAATCGGTTTCCTTTACAGTATACAGCCTCTGATATTCCTGCTCAGATTTCTTCAGCCAAGTCACTAAATAAACAACCAAGCGAACAACGACGTCAACCACTCAGGGAGATGGGAGCAGTAACCAGAGTTGCTGTGCTGTGTTACCTAAAACATCCAACTGTCAGGGCGCCTGGCTGGCTCAGTTGCAGGAGCGTGTGACTCTTGATCTCGCAGTTGTCAGTTCAAGCCCTCCGCTGGCTGTAGAGATTACTTTAAAATTAAAAAAAAAAAATCTTTAAAAAGATAAAATAGCCAGTTGGCTGCAAAAAAAAGTCATGAGACATGCAAAGAAACAGGAAAGTGTGACCTGTACATAGGAGAAAAAAAGAAAGCAGATAATAGAAACTGCTCTTGAAGAGACCCAGATGTTGGATTTAGCAGACAAAGACCTCTAGGCAGCCATTATAAGGAAGGGATAACTGGGTGATGGGCATGAAGGAGGGCAGTTGATGGAATGAGCACTGGGTGTTATTTGTAACTGATGAATCACTAAATTCTACCTCTGAAACTATAACCAACTAACC